ACCAAATCTCTCGTTTTGAAGTTCTGAGCAAGCCTATTATTGTCATAGTACGACTTCATGCGCGTCTGGGCCTCACTCTTCGCATCTTGCGCCATCTTCAAAAGTGCATCTTGCTTCACAAGAAGTTCTTGACCTGTCTTATTTTGCTGGTCAAATTCTGGGTCCCTAGTTACATCGTCAGGCATATAGGGCACATAACCCAGATCAGCCTCAAACGGTGACATACCGATCGATGGGTAGATACGTCGGTTGTAGGCAAATTCTGCTAGATGCAAGTATTCATCCCAATTATTCTGGGCGAGGTTGACGACACCTCGTAGGTGGTCTTCGACAAACCGGTTGGTACGTTCGGTCTGACCATCAGTCTGCGGGCGAAATGCAGACGATAGTTGGTGCGTCGTTTCTAGCGTCGCTATCACGTCTTGCCAAAACTTAGAAGTGAATTTCGAATCTCTGTCCGAAATAATCGATTTAGGCACTCCATGGTCTTTTACATAGTTGACCATGAACAGCGTAGCAATATCTTCTACTGTTGCTGTCGTATTGGCTGCGATGAACTTTGCACGTTTCGTCAAGCGGTCCACGATAACCATAATGACATCTTTCCCAGCTGTTGTTCGAGTTAATGCAGTCATGAAGTCCATCGAAATATCAACCTATCTACCCTCTGGAATCTCCAATGCCTGAAAGATCCCAGGAAGCTTTGTTTGGCGTGCTTTATTGCGCCGGTAAATGTGATGGAGCGGATCCCAGAAAATTGGTGTGGGCATCACTGGTTGGCTGACGTACCCAAGTCAACTGACTCTACCGTCCCATCTAGGATCCATCGAGGGACAGAAAACGTTTGTTCTGTTGAAATTGATGGTTAAATGTCAAGAGGCGAAGACAGTGGAAGATGTGGCCAGACCAAGAATTGACGGATTCACTCTGGCAGATGACGAGACTTGACCTCGAGGAGAATGTTCTTGTCTGTGGATGGATGTATCTAGACTACTCGACTCTCTATGATGTGTAAGCGTCTATTCTGGGAGCTACTAACATCATCGTGGTCGGTTGGAAGAGGTTGAGACTGGAAGTGAAATATCTGGTACTATTCTCGGACTACCCGTACAATTCTCGGACCTGAGTTCATCGGAAGGAGTTCTGAGTGATTGTGGGTCGACGGATATGGTGACGAATAGTCTCAGGATATTGATGGGGAACGTTCAAGCTGGTGTCGACCTTGAGGGTGAGACAATTCCGAGATGTGGTGAACATGGTGAATTCCAGAACTGTGACAGGTGTGAATCCCCATACTATTCTCAGACCCGATATGATACGTTTCGATATGTTGGATACGAGGTATAGTCTGGGAATTCTGGAACCTCAAGTGATATTGGAAGGTTCTCAAGGGTACCAGAATAGAGTGATTGGATACAAGTCCCAGAATTTACTCCAAGTTGAGGTTGCGTGAAAGGTCGGTTCGAAAATCCGCATCACATCAGACACGCCATGAAGAGTGGGCCATCTCAGGTTGATGAAACACTTCGGTTGGAGTAATCCGACATGCTCTGACCAATGTCAGCATCATATTCGACTTAGGCATGCTCCCGAAGATTCAAGATGACTGCGCTTCTGTGATAAGTGGCTATATACTCACCCTTCGATTTTTATTTGACTTATAGTTTGTAGCGGGACCGGCGCCCGAGCTATGTAGGTTTCCGTTTGCATGTGTTAAAACTTAATCAGAATTTAATTTGCCCCGAAGGACACAGGAGAAGTCACATCGGTGAGCGTGCAGGCTTAGCACGTATTCCGGCATCATCCTGAAGGTTAATCGTCTTCCCATAAAACTCAAGCCAATTTAACAAGGTTAACCTCACTTTATTGTTGGGTTAGTTGAGTTATTTCATATTCTGTGCTACTTGGACGCCTGTTTCGACTGGAATTCGATTGGTACTTCTGGGAAGGAGGTGACTTTCCATTGGAGCCCTCGCGGTATTGGTGTTTTGTCCCGGCGCGAGACTTGGAGTGCATTCTCAGCCATAATTGACTTTGACTGTTTTCGCCTGTAATAATGCGTGGTGCGCGACGTCCCAGGACAAGTGGAGGTTCCTGGAATTGACGAGGTCCAAGGCAGCCCAACTGAGACTCCCAGCCACTCTCGGATCGGAGAGCCGAGTGACGATCCCGGAACGCGGTCCTAGTTCTGACTGCGCGGGGGAAGAGGGGGAACTGTTAACGGCCAAGTCCAAGGCCCTGGAAGAGAAGTGGACAATTGTGTTGTGCTGCATATCAAGAAACTCGGGGCATTGCGAGTTCGTTTAAGCACATCCAGACTGGAACCTGCCGAGATCGAGCCTAAGTCTCGCTCGGACAGTGTATTCCCGGATCCCAAGACCAAGAGCAGTCGCTGTGGTTCTCAGACTTCTGGGTCCAAAGCGTATCTGTAGCCCGAAAGGACCAACAACGCGAATCACAAGAGAGGTTACACCCGCCATTCCCAGACCTTTGTGGGTCTGAAAATTTCCTACGTTTTGAGTAGTGGTCCGCCGACGGGTCATACCTGTGTGTAAGGTCACCGCTGCATCACACAAAGCTCATATGTGTTCGCGTAGCGCTGTATATACTTTGACATCTTGGACCAGTAGTACTTCTTCTGGACACTTAAGTATGTCTTGAAGTACCCAGGGTGACTTGTCGTGACCACGTCGTGTGTTCCACAAATAACACGGTTCTTCAGGTCTTAATTATCCGGAATCACCAGTCGCAGGCTTGCATCATCGCATGTCTGGTAGTAAAGTACTCCATTGTTCACAGAATATCGTGATACCTCTTTACCACTACTTATACTCTGCAATATCTCCTGAACACGAATGTCCGTAGAATAAAGGTGTTTGACCGAGTGTTTTACTGTAACACTCGTAGTCTGGATACTGGCAACTATTTACCTGTTGCGCGCAGCTTCAATTAGCTCTCTTATGCTAACCTGCGCGGCCTTATGCTCAAACAATGGTTTTCGAGACACTACATCTGACACACCCTCCGCTTAATGGATGTGACAGATCTTCTCCTGGCGACAATCGTCAAGATCTTTTGCCGGGCAAGCGATCCCGCAGCGCGTCTCCTCTCCGAGACTGATCGTCCCTTGAAGCGCAAGGCCCCGACCACCGAAGATCACGAGAGGGACTTGGACCAGAGCGAAGACCAGACGACCTCGGCATGGGTGGTGGTTCCGACATCGACGAGGAGCTTGATCAAGGCCAAGATCCACTGAACAAGTCGTCCGGGAAAGGTACCGGTGGTACGAGTCCCCCACCTCGTGATCCTCGAGACTTGGCGCATGAGCTCGGCGGATCAGGTGAATCTGACGCCCACGACGAAGCTGATCCTACCCCGGGTCAAGATCCAAGTCTGGGTCTTCACACTCGAAGGATGATTACAAGTCCACTGGAGATGCGGACGCTTAAGACGCACCATTGGATTTTTGCTCCTGACACCTCTCCGAGAACTCGACCGGAGGCAGGAACGACGAAGTGCTGGATGAGATGTTGCAAGCACAGACCATAATGTCTCTCTCACGGTTCCGATCTGAGCAACGCAGGTGGGACCGTGCCTCTCCGCGTCGTGCCACCTCAGGAGGGGTAGGAGATCCAGGATCTGGGGGCGACTCAGACGGTGATGCATCAAGTGGCGAAGGCAACGGTGGAACCTCGCCCACTGATCTAGATGGAGTACCTTTTCCCTCGACCATGCTCCCTAGACGTCTATTCGCCGCTGACCACGAATGTATTCCAGGACGTTGGCGGACTCGCCTCTACAATATCACCGACGTGGATCCATGGGTGATCCAAAGGATCACATCATGACGATGACCCCCGAGGTGCTGTCTAGCGCGCTGCCATTCCGTTCTGAACGGATTATCCTGATCGCGTCCCTCGAACAGCAGCGCCTCGTAGGGATCAGTACTGCAGTGACCTGATTACCGCGCAGAACGTCCGTGATCTCATGGCGGCTCTCCCATGGTATGTGCTGGCTAGGGCCAACGTCCCTCAGCCGATATCATTCAAGATTACCGTCGATAGCCGCTTTGGTTTCCTGATCCAGCGATATTCTCCCGTTGAGCTCCAGGACTGATCGCTTTTTGGGAGTCCACGCATCGCTTCCCTGTTTCGTCCGCTCAGATCCGCGACGACCCCTACCTGGCGCTCTTCGTGTGGAGAGGAAGAATCGTTGGTCGCACGCGGAAGCTCGGTGGAAGCAGATCCTGGAGCTCTTCATGCTCGCTATGCGTGAGTGTTGGTGCGACCTGAATCTATTATTGAATCTGTTCTTCATGCATTTCCCCAAGCGGAAGACGAGGTGGCTTGGTACCCCGGGATCGAGGCTCGCAAGACCAACCTTGTGGATCCACAGCTTCACCGCCGTGAACAAACTACCCTGATGGAGGTTCTCGCTGACTGCGATACTGCCGATCTCTGGTGTACACATTATCACCAGAACCATACCGACCACCCGGCTCGCCCGACCACATGCCTCGCGGGCAAGTTCTTTAACATGGCAGCTTTGAATCCTAATGCGCCATCACTTCGTCCGCAACAGTGATCCAGACGTCTCTCCATACGTTCCGTCCAGATCATAGTCGTTAACCGTAATACACATTACGTTTCTCTCAGATCTTGATTTGTTGGCGTCTTTTGGTTCCACTAAATTTCTATCATGTTGTTTCACGCAGATCCCCACTCTAACACCTCGACACTTGTCATTCGTCATCCGATCTATAATCTCCGAGATAATAGAGTCGTAGATCCACAATTGAATTTCGTTTTCGTTCCCTCCCATATCCACACCTGTACCAACTTGCTCCACATAGATCCGCAACCAGCACCTTGTCATATACAATGCTATGTATACCCTGTCCTTCGAAATGCAACCTCCGTGCAGATCCATCCCTCTTCTGCCACATCAATGACCAACTCATCCGTGTGGATCGAGATCTCACAGTTCTTCTTGAGACTGCATCACACCAAACCTGTTACGATTAGTGCGGTCTCGCAGAAACTCATAAAGTAGGGCGCCGCAGTTGAGATCTGCTTCATCCACCCATGTCGGATCTTCATATCCACGCCAGCGTATCTTGTCCTTTTACCAGTCCTCATATCGGAAATTCGATCCACTTCATATTCATCTAGATCTCGATCTTGGATCCAACTGTCTTCAGGTAGGAGAGTTTCATCGAATTTAACTCGATCTGTATCCGACTCCATTATGTGAGCTACAGGTCGATCTGGGAACATCCTGACAGGTTTGATCGTCGAGACATGTACCACCGGAAAGATGCCGTACATTGATCCTGCAATCTCCAACTTCACTGCATACCCTCCGATCTTCTCAGCGACGCGAAATGGCACATGCCATAACTGCGCCAGTTTCTTCGCATTCTCGATCCAATTACAACTAGACTCTTAATCCAGCCTCCACTGGATGTGGGCGTACCAGATCACTATGTGCGTCAGCTCGATCCGTGATATCTTCGCGTAACCGCTGGTTAACTTGTTCTCAAGTGTGTTGGTAATAGTTTTGCATCTGATAGCGTCACCTGCTTGGATCGCGATCATGCCTGCGAGTGCCCCCACCGGGATCACCGCTTCCAGAGTAGATCTAGGATCCCAGCCATGTATCATGTAGAAAGGAGTTTCACCCTGGATCTGGTCTCTTGCGGTGCTGATCGCGAAAGTGAGCCGTTCCGCTTATTTGTCTCAATCACGTTGATCCAGATCCTGCACATACATCTTAAGAGCTCTGGTAGTTGTCTGGACCATCCCCTCTGCGGATCCATTAGCTTGGGGTCGATAAGCCATAGTAGCACGTTGGCGTTGGCCCAAGATCTTGTTGAAAGCTTTGAACAAGTCAGACATATAACCTGGCTCTCGATCATGCCTGATCACTTTGCTCACACCAAATCAACGGAAAACGCATTCTTCGTAAGTCTCAGCGCTCGTCTGTCTAGATCAAGAGGCGCTGGCCTTGACAACCACGTAGATCCACAAAGATCAACAGCTCTGTGTTGCCATTGAAAGATCTGGGCAGCGAAGGTATGTGATCCATGGCGATGATCTGGAACGGGTAGGTTGCCTGAAGGTTACCAGTTGACTCACCCTGGATCCGATGTCGATCGACACATTCTCCCACATATCGCTGTACGCTCTTGTATAATTCTCTCTAGTGGAAATGATCTCGGATCCGATCGTGGACCCGACCAATTCCTTGATGACCACCCTGTAGACTCGTAAGGCAGTGATGCAAAATATCCTGCTGAAGCGCACCAATCGCATCAACTTGTCTCGATCGGCAGCGGCTTCCTTGGTTATTGGACGGTAGAGGAGTAAATCCGACTGATCCACTTCATAATTAATGGCGATGGATCCAAATACCTTAGCGTCTTCTTGTATCAGATCTCTGATCTCTCCAACCAAATACTTCTTCAATCCTGAGATCCACGACTCCTCATCATGTGCTTGCCGGATCCGCTCCATCCACAGTTCTCTTACAATTTTCTCACGAATGAGTCTGGATCAGACCCCGTCCGCACTCCGGGTCTAGCCTTGGATCGGGTCGTCACCGCCGATACACATGCAGTCTCATCTTCGATCTTCACTACCAGAATCTCGTCGAGTCGGTTCAAAGTCACTAGATCCTGGATCTCCTTCTCAGAGTCAACCTCGATCCCGCATCGTTGCTAGTCAAGCTATCGGCACTCTCATTCCTGTCCCGATTGACATGTACCAGCTCATGATCTGCCCAAGTGCGTAGTTGATCGAGAACCTTCTGGCATAGCAATGTCAAACCTGGTGCCTTACAATCGATCTCACCTCGTACCTGTCGGATCACGAGGTTCGAGTCTCCGCAGATCACTAGACGTCGTGAATCCAGATCTTCCAACAGATTCAAACACAACAATAATACATGGTATTCTGCTTCGTTCACTGTCAGATCCTAAGTGTATTCAGATCTAGTCTTTAGCACACTCCATTCGGGCAACTTCCCCAAGATCGAGCTGTTGGCGCCTCCACCTCTCTTGACACAAGCGGATCCGTCGAAGCTAACAGCGTATTGATCCTCGTTGCGTCCAATAGTGGGTATCGGAGCCTGGATCTTGCGTCGTGGATACTTTTAGGGGCAATCAAGATTAACGCTTTATTCACCTCTGCTCTAGGCGTAATACTAGCCGTCAATGCTCATAGGATCTCATCTTCACCCTTGACCCACTTGGTGATATCGAGAGTCCACAGCTTCAGTAGAGCAGCCTACTGACCTAAACGTCCCTGCAGGACCGTAGATATGAAACGCAATGCTAAAGTAGAGGTCGGGTCAATACATGGATCGGGCGTCCGACCAGGGCATTATAGTTAAGACGGAGGATCCTTAACAAGGCTAGCACCTCCTTCTCCGCGATACCATAATTCAACTCGTTCGCTTTCAGAGTACGACTCGCAAACACCACGGGGTGGTAGATCTTGTCGTATTCTTGCATCAACGATCCTGAATGGCCCAGTCACTAGCATACAACACAACCGTAGCTCGCCGATCTGGATCAAAATACCGCAGGACCAGGGTGGTGGCGATCTTACATTTAAGGACACTGAAAAATCTGTAGGCATGGACCCAACGCGGATCTACCTCAGTTAGGTCTTGCGCCTCCAGATCCAAAGTCTTTTGGTGGTCGACCACTTGATCTCCTCGTGATCCTCGATCAACACTCGCCACCTCTAACACTCGTTGGATCTGCGCTTGGGTGGTGTCCTTCATCATCGCAGCGAAATCAATATGTTGTCACTCATACAAAACCGACGCATAGATCGCATAGTCTTCAATGAATCGGCTGTAATAGTTTAAACGTCCCAACATTGACGGCATGGCTCTGAGTGACCCTGAAAATGCTGGATCAGTCAACGTAGGCACCCCTTTCGGATTCGTCTCCAGTCCATTGTGGAAGACCTTATGGCCGAGATATTCCACCTTAGGCATTCCCCAAAAACTCTTAACGACACTGATCAATAGATTCCACTTATCACACGCCTCGAGTAAACCTTCAACTCGATCACACGGTTGATCCCAGTTATTGGCTGAGATCAGGATTGCGCCGATGTATGATCTACGTCAAATCACTGATGGTTTGCCCGGATTTACCGATTCCCCGTTCTCAAATACATCCGAAGTACTTCCATGATCTTCAGACTTCGGGATCCGGGTGAATCCATATAGTGCGTTGTCGAGCATACGTTGATAGATCTGGGGTGTATTCTTCAAGCCGAAGGACATTCGATTCCATTCAAATAGTCCAAAAGGAGTGATAAAAGAGGAGATCAAACGAGCACGATCCGTCATTTTCACCACCCAAAATCCACTCTCCATATCCAAAGAACAGTACAAAAATGTCGACTCTAGATCTTCCAGTAAGTCGTTGATCAAGGGCATTGAGTAGATCATCAGCTGAGGCAGACTGCTAAACAACCGATAATCAATAAAGAGCCGGATATCCACTCCATTCTTCTTTATGATAACTACGATCGGGGAAGCCCACGGTGATCTAGAGTAATTGATCATTTTAACAGACAATAAACCCTTGATTAGATCCGTTAGCTTCTCCCTGAGCTGGATCGGCAACTTACGACACTTCATGGTGATAGGGCTTGCTCCTCCGACATCGATGTCGCACACAACACCTCTGGTAGCCGGCGGGAGGGCATTGCCTTTGCCAATCAAGAGGTGTCGGAACTTCCAGACTCTTTGGCGAAGTCGATCAATCTCTTCTGGGGTCTGATTATCAGATCCACATAGCTGAATGTACTCGGTCTTCACATCTTTCTCGTCACGGGCACTTCTGGCAGTACCACCATCGGACCGTCGACATCTTCCGCGTACAGATCATTTCCTTCATGACAGTATACACATTCATCATAATCTTGATCTGAGTCCCAGGTGAGGTCCAGATCCGACGCGCCTGGTTGATCTTCAACAACAGGTGATGAATCCATGTCCGTTTTTTGCGACATAGACGCGACGCACTTGTCGTTCTACGGATCACTGGCCACATGTCCCGTCCCAGATTGTACACTTATCATCGATGACGGATCTAATACACCGCATTTCGACGGTGGTGTTCCTTGATCTTGATATCCCGAATGTAGTTAATCCTGGTTGGTGACTCCAATTCCATCTCGACCTTCTTCTTCTCGCGCCTCTACTGCACTTGTAGTTTCTTCTCACGACGGATCAGTCGCCCAGTCGTCTGGCGTTACTAGATCGAGATCTTCCAGCGCCTCCTTGACCGTTACAACATGCGATATAGAGTCTCTATCCGCAATATACGACAGTACCGACTCTTCACTTGCGACAGACGCGAGATCCAACGGTCGAATCTCCGACGGCGATTTGTCCGACGGCGAGCCGTTCGAAGGTAATCAGTCTGAAGACTGAACAAGCGAACGAGATGTCGTCGGATGCCAGGTCGACGACGACATTGCTGAACGCTAGATCTGCGAATCGGCAGAGTGCCAGGAGAAACTCTGTTGACGGAAGTAAGGCCGATCTGGATCCCGATCTAGATCTGGAAGAGAAACCTCATCCTCCACAGGCCTCCGGCATGAAACCCCTGCGGATCTTGACTCGCGTCAAGGTCCGCTAACAAAACCAACAAAGGTGAAGGCTGAACCGTATTCATTCATTGATCCAGATAAGCCAACACTATATCTGCCCAAGGACACAGAAGTCTCTGGATCCGAGGTTGGGAAGCCGAGATCCAAGACTGTGCGGAAGTAGATGAAAGTGGCAGATGTTGAGGAAGATGAAGATCATCACGGATCTGGCTGGTCTGACGAAGATCTGACGTCCATGTATCAGCACAAGGAGCTACGTGACTTCGTGCACCAGGATCCAGTGATGCGGATCCGAAGGAGCCTGTCAACAGATTTGATCCAGCGATGAAGTTGATCCGCATGCTGAAAGAAGCCGGAATTGTCCCTGGATCCTTCGACGCAGACGCTTTGTTTGACTTGAATCTCATTGTTATCCAAGCCACCAGTCGCGCTATATTCGAGAAGTTGAAGATCCTGATGGGCGAAGTGCCTCTGAGCCTAGGTCCATTGCCATTGACCACGACCGACGTCGTCGACAACTTGACGGTGGTGTCGCACTATGCGTCAGCCACAGAAGCCGGATCCGACACTTCCTCGGAGCCCAAGACGGATGTCTCTGGAACCCTCTGGAGCATCGAAGCTGGAGGCGAGATTCAAGAGCCACCGCCCTAGCCGACTAGAACCAGTCGCCGCGATAATGGATCCGCGCCATCGGACCAAGCCACAGCCACTGTGAGTTCAGATCGATCAGTCGGTACCTTGCTGAAGTTCTTCAATGCTGCAGTGGACTGATACTTGGCCGAAGAACGCGAGGCGAACAAAGATCCACCTAATACGCAGCCGCAGCAGCAAGGATCACAAGATGTTGAGATGGAATCCATTCGGTCCTCCGATCGTGAATCTCGCTGGGAAAACGATCCCGACGATGTAGACTTTCCAACGTCTTCACAAGCCACAGTGGCCACCGCCGCTGCTGAATCCACAGGTTTCACCATGATACAGCGTGTTCGGATCTCGGCGATCTCAGATCTCAAGGAGTTCACTGGGAAGGATCAAGACGAGGGTCGAGCATAGGCATGGATCAGCAAGGTTAAATCTGCGTTCATGCGAGATCAAGCATCAGATGACGAAAAGTTCTTGACCTTCGCCGACCTCCTCACTGGATCCGCCAAGAATAGATACCGCCATCTGAGTAGATCTACTCGAAACAAATGGAGTGATCTGCTTCGTAGTTTCCCGATCTAGTATTACGGACTCGGAGTATAGGTAGCAAGGCAATACTACCATACGCGACGTAAATCTGATGAATCCCCGCTGGACTACTTGTATCGTCTCAATGTGGTTGGACTCCGCGCGCGACTGAAGATCAAAGATGGCAGCACGAAAGATCGACGTGAACATGTGGATCATTACATCTTGAGGATCAAGATCTAGCAGAACGGTTAACCTTACTGCTGTTGACTGACGCGGATGATCTTGAGGAAGTCCTTCGCGCCCGAGATCGCGCTATAAATCGTCAGAAGAAGGCTGCGTTTGAATCCAGCAAGTATCGGCAGAAGACGACCAACACGACCCCCCGCGAAACAAGTGCGTGCGATACAGATCCAAGCTGCTGGCTCTGGACCTGACAGTGGATCCGACGAATTGGGTGGATCTGACTCCGACACCGACAGTCATCGCAGGATCTTCCTTGCAGCGAACGAAGATGTCACCCCGAAGGTGGAGAAGGAGTTTACAAGTCTAGATCCACCACTTCCGCACCGTGATCATGGCCACCAAGATCCCAACTCGAGGATCCACTGTAACGGTTTTAACCGCGATCGATGCTCGCATTGTGGGTCCTGGTAGCATTCGGATCTTGATTGCTGGAGGCGCGTTACATGCACGAAGTGCGGCAAGAGAGGACATCCGCCGAATCATTGCCGCTTCGTGTGTTGCGGATATGGAGAACTGCATGACATGGGAAAATGTCTGATGGAAGAAATCTACAACCAGATCCGCCAGTAGTTTAACCCCACTAAGCACATGGGTATGTTACCTGAAGCTGCTGAGAAGATGTTAAACTAGGACGCTCGTCGGGGTGGAATCCGATACGAGCTGAGCGTTCTAGATACTGCATCTATGCATTTGTGAACAAGACATTGGTAGAACAGGTTAGTAAGCAACCAGATCCACACGGTAATACATGTGATCTGGATGGGAAACGCACCTTCGCAATTTCAAGTCTTCGCCAAGTCGACGAATATGCCAGATCCGAAGTCACCATGAGTGTGGACCTCCAACCAGGAGTGTCACGAGGTTATTGGAGGCAGCAAGATCCAGATCTATGGTTCAAACCTACATATCACGAGGTTACTTCGGAGATCAAGAGAGCTAGTGAGATCGCGGAGTACCAACGGCCAGCAATCATTGGTCTACTACCGGGAGAGTCTCGCGGTTACTGCAAGCATCATTCTCCATGTAAATGGGTTCGCCAGGCCAAACTCACAGGCAAGATCCACAATGAGAAAATGATCTTTCTTGTAGATACCGGCGCCGCGGTGTCCATCGTGGACACCACCTTTGCTAGTAACGTTGGGTGCTATATCGACTCGAGTCAGATCCAGGACTGTGTGGGAATTGGCGACAATGTGTAACGGACAGAATGAAGAACCCGGATCAAGGTGACTCTCGCTGGATCATTGGTATATTTCTTCGATACTTGGGTTGGTAATCTGACTGGCCAACAAGCTATACTTGGTATGGACTTCTTCGTTCCAGCCGGTATCCACCTGGATCTGGCCCACGGATCGATCAGCTTGTCTGGATCCAGCTTAGCGGGGCCCGGCAGCTCTATAGCGACAAGGCGAAGGTCGTAAATGTCGGCCAATATCTTCGGATCCAAGCAGGAGAGTCGGTGGAACTGCCGTTGCGCCTGAGGTCGTCGATCGACGATAAGCTATGGGTCACACGTGGGGATCAATGGGTTCCCACAATATCCGACGGACCAGCCAGGACAAAGTATGTCTCGATCACCAACCTCGGGGACGAGGTATTGACCTTGCATCACGACCAACGGATCGGGATCTGGCTGGCCGGCCACCATGTGCCGCGACTGCCGGGTGTCATCTCGATCGGGTCGCGTCGCTACATGGAGTGGTAGAATCTAGCGTTGGAAGCTACGACCGACGCTCGATCTGAAGATGCGGAGGTTGAGCCACCGCTTGGTGACACGAAGTGCTTCGAAGTTTTTGTGGAAAATAAAAGATTTGTTGGAGTATCCAGAAACTAGGCAACGGATACGGGACCGTTGAAGTGAATGTTCGGAAGAGAAAGTGATTACTTGATGGGAAGAGAATGTTTAGCTTGGAGAGAGTCGAGGATGGAAATTAGAGTCAGGAAGCACTGCGGTGCTCAGTCCAGACCCGCCCCCGCCCTGACTATGGGTAGCAATGATTGTGAAAAGTGTCGGTACAAATGTATTGTACCCGACACCCCATACTATCTTGACCCGACCCAAGAAACAGTATCCCATGGGTCAATAACATCAACTCAAAGTACTATTTACGTTCAAGATTCACGACCCAGAAGGAAACGAACCACCAATGGAGGTGATATGAGAGCTCGACAGGGTATCCCAGAATTCCGTGACTAATCCCTGAATCGCGGCTGAAAACCACTGAATCCCGAAGGGAATATCTGAGTCCAGACCCTAAAGGATTCAGAACCAAGGATATCTACGTTTGTATGAAGGTATTACGCTATGGATACAGCGATTCTACGACGAATAACGAGACAGGATCCAGAGATTCAAGTGTATTCCAATGGATTCTATGTCATAGTATGCTATCGAGTAACGGAATGCAGAGATTTGAGTTCCTCCCAGAGTCGGAGACCCGACTCTAGGTGTAACGCGATCAAGTGGTGACAAGTCAGTGTGAAGTGAGGTGATGTTCCTTATATCCGATGATGCTACGTGAGCACATAATGGAACCAAGTGATTTTGAAGTTCAATAATGATATTTGTACTTAGGTATACTGAAACCGAGATATTTACCCCGGATTCAAAAAGATCAAATGAAATATGGAACATAAGATACCAAGAAAAATGGCATTGTACGAGAAGATATTCAGAGAGCTATTTACGTTGTGAAGCACAAGTGGTTTCGTAAGGCGCGCAGGCCAGGTGCCAAAGGTGCCGCGTGAGGATATCCAGCTATACTAGGTCCAAGTTGCGGTGGGGATCAGACACGACGGTGTTCTGAGGATATCCACAGCATTCCATATCCCAATTGGGCCTGCTGTAACGGAACGGTAAGGGTAGGTACCCATTTCATGTTAGCGATTGTTCTCTAAGGGTTCGTAGTCCCCTAGAGTTTGTATTAGACTGCGAAATCAGAGTTCACCTGTATTAAGGTTGTATTTCCCTCATTCCTGAG